GAGGAGGAAGGGGGAAGTCTTGCTATTGTTATTATTGTAGGAAGTGAAACCAATTTACTGTTTCATGAAGTGGAAATACCTTGTGTTATCCTCTTTGGTGCTTCTGTGTCTCATGCCATCATTTCATTTGTCCTTAAAAATTCCAGTCTGAACTGGAACTAAGAGGATGTTTGAACCAGTGCAAGAAACTGCTAATGAAAACTTACTCAAAAATGCAGCAAGATACTTGATAAGTCAACCAACAGTTTTTGAACTGTATAAGAGTCTGATTAAGTACTTACTCCATGAGAACAGCAAACCTTTGACCTTGAGTACGAGGTCATATTTGAATAATTCAGCAGTGAATGCAGATATCCAGCTGAGCTGTTTTAAAATTCAGTCCCTATTTCAAGTGGTCTGTGGTATACTTTTGCTTCCCTCTGCTTTTTTAGCACTACAAACACTCTAAGTATTTAGAGAGGATTTCTTTGTTCTGTAAAGGAAGATAAACTCTGAAATTAAGCCTCATCAGCGCAGCAACTTAGTTTATTTAACACATTCTCTTGAATAAGGAGTCCAAAGAATATAGAGCTGAGGCAAATAATTTTCCAGTGAATTGCTATCTGCATTTCCAAAATGTGTCAGTCTACAAAATTTCCCATAAAATAGTTATTATTTTTTATATTTACATAACACAGCTAATTGCAGATAGTTATGTATTTCTTCTTTGCTTTGCTTAAAATATTGGCACAAAAATAACACTACATCTATCTTGTGGCAAAATGCCATAGCATCATCCAATTTCTGAGGAGCCATATGGCAGTGGTACAGCCATCTGTTTATCTTGATATTCCTTTCCTGGCAAACCTTGCACCCATATGGGTTATTGGTGCCCTCATCTGTGTATATCATGAAGAGGTTCAAAATCGAAATCTGTAATTTTCCCTGGTATAACTTTTAACTATTACACTGAACATAAAGATCACGCTATTCTCATGTTTAGCCTCATCCATTTCTGTTTTGTGCACACCTGCCTTCTCCTGTTAGATGCAGGAACAATTTGATTTCCAGAATTTGTGAAAGCTGTCACTGCAAGCTGTCAGGTTCGAGGCATCATAATCATCTCAAAGGACTGATGGCTTGTGCTTTGTGGATTTGAAACTTCATCACTAAAGAGATGAAATGATCCGTCCTTTTACATGCTGACAGGGTAGCAATTTTGTGTCAGCATAGAGATTCACGCATTCAGACAATAAGGCCACACCGAATATATGCAGAGTCCTTTCACATTTTCTGTGACAGCCGTTTTCAGTAATGTCTAAAATATTTGACATGCAGTGTTTAGAATAATTTTAAGTAAGGGAAAGTGTCGGCTTTCAGCCTGAGGTGTGATCAAGCCTGAATGAAATCGTGTTTATATCCTATTTAGCAATCTGCTCTTTAATTTCCTCTTTATGTGAAAGAGTACTTTCAAAGTGGATACAGTCAGAGCACAAAACAGTCATTGTAAGTGTATATGTGTTTCAACTCACATCAGCATAAATAAACACATTCCTTTTTTTAATTGGAGGATCTCCTCACCTCCTTTTTATACAGCACAAACAATTCCATTTCAGAAACCAAGCAAATGTAAAGATAAAAAAAAAAAAAAAAAAAAGAAGCTATTATATTTATGGGGGCAATGCTGAATTATGTATATAATGAAATATTCTGTAGCTCTTAGGAGCTAGTTGGCCTATGAAATAAATTGATTTGTTGCATTCCAAAAATGTGTAATACAGTTTTGTTTTGTTTTGTTTTGTTTTTTTAATAAATTGGTTTATTTAATAAATTTATTGCTTTTTGTTTGAAAGAAAATGCTTTGTGTACATTATACCATTCACATATACATATACAATTCACATAATGTACATTTATGAAAATTTAATTAGATTATCTCTCTCATTTTATGATAGGATGTTTTATTAAAAATATCAGTGTATTCACTTGCATTTTAAGTATTCTGTGCCTGCTTTTGATTTCAGTTTAGTGAAGTTTAAGACAAATTTCCCTTTGATTCCCAAGGATCTCTACCTTGTATTTTAAAATTCTTTTCTTTAATAACAAGACGTTAAGAAATCACACATTGTACCACTTTCTGTTGTAGATGAACTCAATTAGAGTCCACACCATTTAGTTTAGAGACAAGACTTCTCCAAATTGCTTCAAAAATTTTCTGTCCAAGATTTTGTGCTGAACATAAGAGGAGTGATATTTAGTTCAACTTTATATGTTATAAAACTTGGTAAATTAGTGCATGTATTTGTGTCTTCATTAGAACTCAGTATTATGTATATCTGTTGTCTACAGACATTCTAAAAGCTAACTGGTGTTTTCTTTCTAATTTCCTTCTGCATTTGCTCTCACACATATCTCTAATATGTCTGCTTGGCAATAAATTGGCTGTATTTGTGTATAAAAGCCTCCAGTGGAACAGAGAACAAAATATTCACAAAGCTGTTAGTTCAAGACTGTTCTAAAAAAGGGCAGGGTTTCAATGATTTAGGAGTTAATGAATCTTTGATTCTTTCAAGAACTCGTGTTAAATTTAACCTGTGAACATAACTGATGTTGAATTTTCTATAACAGGTGATAATGTATTTCACTTTACATTCTAAGACAGGTGTTTTGTCTTAGTATGTCAGAACAGTGCTCTTCCATTCCACCTGCAAAAGTAAAGCCCCCGAACAAAGTTTAGATATTTCTGCTTTCTTTAAACTTTTTGCTAAATGAAGGCTTTTTCATTTGTAAAGCTACTTGCCTTTCTTCAGGTCAAAAATGTATTTTAGGACATTTTGAACATATCCTTTTAGTTCCAATTTAGTAAATCTCTCTCTTTTTAGTTAGTTAGGTTTTGTCTTAAAGGTCTTGCCAGAAATAAGAGGCAATGTTCCTCTTGTACTAGCTACCAAAGGGAAACATGAGGATAGCTACCAAAGGAAAGGAGATATCCTTCAGTTACAGTTACAAGAGTTTACAAGAGTAATATTACAAGGTGGGTGGAGGAGAGAATAGTATACACTTACAGTTTATCCTAAAACAGAATTGAATGGCAAGTGTAACTGAGTCCACCTTGGAGATACATACTTTGCAAGGACGTGGTGGGGACGCTGTGAAAAATAAGAACTTCTATTTCCCTACAGCTCCTCTAATTGCTTGTATATTGTCTTCTCCAAACCGTATCTTGTGTTACTAAAAAGTCCACAAGATGTGTAAGAACTAAAGTGACATGAAAAGTTAGGCAGCACTACAATTGAGGGTATAAAATCACAGCTATATGTCTCTGAGTAACTTTGCAGCTGAGTACTCGTCTAGGAATCCAAACATAATTTTTCAGATCACTCCAGACCAGAGAAAATACTGGTAGATAACTAGTAGGCTTTTAATGAAATCACCATAAAGTCAGCATATAATGGCATTAATCAATGGCTCAGTACAGATAGCAATAATCAAATTAAATAGTCAGAGCATTAAGCTTACTTCAGATAAAGGAATAGGCTTAGTAAAGGCTTTGGTGTTTTTTTCTTCTCCCTGACAGTCAGTGATGTAAATCTTCAGCTAATGAAATCATCAAGTATATCCATGACTTGACTGGAAAATGCAAACTTACCTCTTGAGCTACTATATTTAACATATGAATCTCATTAATTGGTGATGTTGTAAAAAAAAAAAAAAAAAAAAAAAAAAAAAAGTTTAAGTAGAAGACCAGTGAAAGTCACCTGTACTTTGAGTATTATGAAACTGTACTTGTTTCTGGACAGGTCTCACGAAGAATGTGAGCAGGATTGGCACTGTGTGAGAGCATGGCTGGAAGGCTCCTGTCATATGTCTAGTCTGTTATCCATGGACATGATTTTTGGCATTAACACTTAAAGCATCCATTTTCTTAAATCCGTTTAGATCTTGGATATAAAGTTCAGTATTTCCAAATTCATAGAACAAAAACATAGAACAAAATCCTCAATAGAAACATAGCACATATGCAGGTAATTTATTAAGTACAGATATTGAAAGACTTGAAAAATAGCAATATTACTTATTTTTTATTACCATCAGATTGTGTGAGAACTGTTAAGCTTGATGTTTCACAGGAAAAAGGGAAAAGACAATACTGCTTTATAAAAGAAATGCAGCACATTCTGTCTCAAGAGAGTCACTGATCTGTGAAGAAAGACTTAAGTTCACTTATGCTTAGGTTGTGTTCTAGAGTAAAAAAAAAAAATTGAG